AGTGGCAGGTTGCCAGATGGTGCCCCATTAGGTCACATTTGCTCATTGTTTGGCAAACAGCGGCTTAATTCAAGTGCTGAGTTGACAGCTTGTTCTCCAAGACAATTTGCAAGTTGCAGTGTTGCAAATGCCAGCTTGGCTTTTCAGGGTAATGTTATTTCAGCTGCCTTAAAGGGATAAAGTTCTCTTTGATTGGGAAAAAAAATAAAAAGAGGGTGAAAGAGGGGAAAAGCTGAAAAGGTTTTTAGTGGTTTTGATGTGGAAGGACCAGCAGTGTTGGTTGGCAAGCGCTGGGCAAGGAAATGCTGTGCCCATCAGTGGAGACTCTCCATGTCCCATCCCTCCTGTCACTGAGGTCTTCCAGGAGTCCTAAGGAATGAGGTATATATCCTGTGAGACAGGCTTTCACAGGGAAATAGCAATTTTGGTTTATTTTGGAAAGGTTCCGGTAGGGATATACATGCACATGGCTTTGGCATCTCCTCTCGCTGGTGCCCTGTGTCCTGCTGCCCCTCCGCACCACCAGCTGTGTGCCGGGTGAGCGAGTCTCCGCCATCGCACACGTGTAAAGGGCAAACGACACAAACCACCACCACGATGATGCTCTTTCTTCTTCAACAGGTGGGCGAAAAAGGGCCAGGTTATAAAGGAAGCATCCGGTGACTTCTACGAAACCATCGTGGACCACACCTTCTTCTTTGAGCCCGTCTCCTGCGAGGTCACCAATGCGCTGGGCAGCACAAACATCAGCAGGACCGTGGACGTCTACTGTAAGTAGTCTGTCAGCCTGTGACTGGCTTCCCAGGGCTCAGGAGGGCCAGCAGAGCTGCTGAAAATTAACAGGAAGGGGACACGGCTAGATCTGACTTGCCCAGGGTGACCGGGACTCAGGTCTTGCAGCTCAGACTTTGTGAATGCTCTGCTGGTGGGACCCTTGATTTCCTCCTGCCTTATGAGCGCACAGCTCATGGTGGTGGTCCTTGGGGAGCTGGTTGTTCTGGGGTTGCAGCAGGCACCTGTCTCAGGCTCTTCTTTATTTGGGGGGTCTTACACGGCTGTGACCCTTAGGTCCATGAGGACCTACCACTGCTTCCCTGACACAGTGACCTCTTTGGTTTGAGGGTTTCTGGTTGACACAGCCCGTCACTGAGAGTAATTCCAGTCTTCTCTATGCAGTTGGGCCCAGGATGGCAACAGAACCACAGTCCCTCCTTGTTGACCTGGGCTCGGACGCGATCTTCAACTGTGCCTGGACTGGGAACCCATCTCTCACCATCGTCTGGATGAAGCGAGGCTCAGGCGTGGTAAGAACGGCACGTTTGGGGCATGAAACAGTGCATGGAGCTCCCCATCTGGGAGCAAAGTCCATACCTACAGGCTGGGAGCTCCTGGCTGGACAAATGCTAGAGCTGAGAGGCTTCTCCAGATGCAGGAGACAGCGTGGCATTGCAGAGCCTGCGGGCTGCAGGTCCGCAAGGCTGTGGTGAGCATCCCCAGTTAGTCCAGAGAAGTGCAGGAAGCAGTAAAGGCTTTATTTGTAACATTTTGGATGAAAGCGTGTGTGAATCCATGAGGGATTTGGTTGGATTGCTGGCAAGTCAGGCCTGCAGTCCCATCTGGGAGAGGCAAAGGGAAAACCAGAGTGCTGAAAATCAGTGCCATCGCTGCCGCGGAGGAATCGGGTTGTCTGAGCCTGCCCCATCGAGTCCTAGCAGAGCCAGCTTCTCGCCCGCAGGAGATGTTTGCAAAGGAGTCCTAATAGAAGGAGAATCCATTCCCGTGATGACGGGCATAAGGGTTGAACCTCTCGCTTCTGCAAATCGCCTGTGCGTGGTCCTTTCTGGGGCAGTCGTTTCTGAGCTCACAGCCTAACGTGTTCACCCCAAGTCACCTCTGCTGCAGGCTGGAGCCTGCTCAAGTCGGGGGAATCTGGATCTGGCCCAGCAGACTTCACATCTCTTTTGTCCTGGAAAGTGTAAGGAGCTTTGCAAATATTAATTGTGGCTCAGTCAGCCCAGGGAGGTGCGAGATACTCTGATCCCCTCTTTACAGACAGGAGGGCTGAGCAAAGCCACGTTAAGAAGGTAAAGGAGGGCTGAGATGTGAAATTTGTCCAGAAGGCACGCGCGGGTTTGGGTTTGAAAAGCATCTTTTAGCTTCGTCTGGGCAGATGCGTCCTGAAGTCGATGAGGACTGAGTCGCTCTCCTCACCTCCGCTCCCCCCGGCGCAGATTGAGGAGGGGAGCGGACGTTGAGGCATTAACTGCTGGGGTATTTTTTCCAAACTGTAATGACCTTGGTGAAGGCCATCTCCTGGGAAGTAATTATAGACTTGGGAGAGCTGATGGCTCGAATCAGCTAAGGAATCCCAGCGGGTCAATAATCCCTGGGTGGTTTCCCATCCTACAGCTGCGGTTGTTGTTTCTCTTGGTTATTATCATTACAGGCAACGCTTTCATACCATAGACTGCCATTTCAATTTCTCAAAGCCGCTGGAGCGCACAGAGCAGCTGAAAGGAGCCATGCACAGCGAGGATGAGGGCTTCCTGACCCTCACGGTCCAGCCCCAGCCACGCGTCAGGGCTTGCCTTCGCCAAGCGGCAGAGCAGCCTTCTCCCTTTTTATTTGGCTCCCTCTAGCTGACTCCTGCTGGTTTGGAGCATCTCAGGGCTCAGGACAGACCCGCCGGCTGGTTTAACCCAGCGGAGATGCTGGTGCTGGTCAGCAGAGCCGCCTCCATCTTCCCAGAGGGATGCTGGCAGGGGATGCTGCTTTGTAAAGCCATCAGCGCCCAGCCGTCGCAGTGCGATGTGGGATCAGGGTGGCTTTTGTCCCAGCCCCTCCACTTCCAGAGCCAGGTTGGGCTTCCCACAAGATTGCCTTCTTTCCTTCTACTTTCCCAGAAGGAAACAAATCAGAGACCAAAGAGAGGGTGAGGCCAAGTAAGCACCGGCATTTGCATGGATACCTTTGTAAGCAATGCTCAAACAGTGGGTTTAAAAGGGATCTGAAATTCTGTGGCTCTGCCTCACGCCACGTTAGGGGTGAGACCCCCATCTTCTTGCTACAGGGAGACCCAGATCCATCTCCAACCCCTGCTCAGGGCTTTGCATGAGCGTGAACTCCCAGAGGCATCAGCTGTGGGAGCAGCAACCAGCAGAGCTCACCAAGCAAGCGGGTGCTGGAAGGAGGAGAGGTGATGGGCTGGCCCCAGCCTGCAGAGTCCTGGGGGAGAGAGGAAGGGCAGGAATTAGCTCCCAGGGACGTGTTTCCAGCATGGAAATGCATGGCTGCAAAAGCCGCTATTTCTTTTAGACCTGCCATGTTTTTTTAAATACCACCAGTGCCAGGAATTTGCCGACAGCCTCAGCCAGATCCCTCTGCTTCAGCAATTTTCAAGGTTTAATAAAGCTGCTAATTGCACTGCTGGGGCAGGAGGGCAGCGTGGCTGATAGCCACATTGCAGCTGGTCTATAGGGAGGGCTTGCCAACAGCAGCTGAGAGGTCCCTGGCTATCCAGACCTGGTTCCCAGGGGGCTGCCAGCTCTCCAGGTTGTCTCCCACCACTTCTGGGTTTGAAATCATAGAATCACAGACTGGTTTGGGTTGGAAGGGACCTTTCAAGGTCATCTAGTTCCACCCCCATGGAACCCCCATGGGCAGGGACACCCTCCACTAGCCCAGGTTGCCCAAAGCCCCATCCAACCTGGCCTTGAACACTGCCAGGGATGTGGCTGGCCCAACTCCCCCCAGGGCCTCAGCACCCTCACAGGGAAGGATTTCTGCCTCACATCCCATCTCCATCTCCCCTCCTGCAGCTTCAGGTCATTCCCTTTGGCCTGTCACTCCCTGCCCTTGTCACCAGCCCCTCTCCAGCTTTCCTGGAGCCCCTGCAGGGACTGGAAGGGGCTCTAAGGTCTCCCCGCAGCCTTCTCTTCTCCAGGCTGAACCACCCCAACTCTCTCAGCCTGTCTCCATAGCAGAGGTGCTCCAGCCCTCGGATCATCTCCGTGGCCTCCTCTGGACTCACTCCAACAGCTCCATGTCCTTCTTGTGCTGGGGACCCCCGAGCTGGACGCAGCACTGCAGGGGGGTCTCACCAGAGTGAGACTCCCCAAGTCAGTCCTGGCAGCCCCCCCGGTCAGCAGCAATAAGTGATGACATTTCCATGCCACGTAAGACCTTGGGCTCATCCGCTTCATTTTCTCTGGGCTGCCCTGGAGCTTGTAATGCACCTCTCTTGTTCTACTTCGCATCGCTCCCCCCCTGAAAGCAACCCTCTCCTCTCTTCCAGGTTTTGAGCAACGAAAACAAGCTGACCCTGAAGTCTGTCCGCCAGGAAGACGCTGGGAAATACGTGTGCCGAGCCGTGGTCCCGCGGGTTGGCGCGGGGGAACGGGAGGTGACGCTCACCGTCAACGGTACCTCTTGCTTTCCTATTGCTGTTCCGTCCTGCTGTCCCACTGCTTCGTTCCTGTCGCTCTGACAGCTCACCTTGCCAAGTTATCCCCTCGGATATTTGCTTTCAGAGCAAATCCCACCCATGGCTGGAGCAGGGAGGACCCTGCCCTGCAGGCAAGACGAGTAAATTGGATTTTGCATTCATTTGCCTGGAGATGCATGGGTTAAAAGAAAAGAAAAAAACCAACAACATTATCTAAGACCCGCTCGGTTCCTTATTATCAACAGGGGTTTACTGAGTAGTTGGGAGTCGGCGTCTTTAAATCTTTAATAGATTTATCTTGCAAAACCCTTGCAAGGTCGGAGAGCACTGTTGTCTCTGTTGTACAGCCAGAGAGCTGGGAATTGAGCCTGGATCCGAGACCAGCAGCCTAATAACTCTCTCAGTGCCCACGTGAGGATACCCGTGAGAGGCAGCAGTGCTATAGAGCTCCTCCACACCCAGCGCGGTGTCAGGATGTGGCCTGGACCCTCACCCGGGAGCTGGGACTCCAGAGCCCTGCAGTTTAACGATGACCTGGCCAGGACCCTGCAGCAGCCGATAATGAATTTCAGCCTAAATATGGAAGTGAAAGAGCGAGGCAGGTTGCAAATGGTATAAATAGAGTATGAATTTTGCATTGTCTCTCACCTGTATGACAAACTGGCAGGCTTCGGTCCCCGCTCACTGTCACAAGGAGAAGAAAATAAGCAGGGAAGCAGCACAGGCGGCGGCAAGCGTTAATTTTAAATGCAGATAATGCTGGAAAGGGAAGCCAAGGGCAACGCAGCAGGAGACTGAAAACCAACCACTCCCTTGACTTCGACTCAGCTCCTCGGCGCCTGCATGCTCCTTCCCCGGCGGCTGCTGGGTTTTAATTACAATTAAACTAGCTCGCAGAAAACAAAGCAACAAATTAGCACAAACAAAGAACCTGCTCCTTTCCTGACACCTACCAGGCACGCGGCCGCCTTGAACGCGGAGCAAAGCGCTCGGCAGGCTCGGGGCCGTTTGCAGCGTGCGGCATGGAGAAGTCTCTCTCGAGAGCTGAGAGGGGGAGCGAATGAAATCCGTGCCATGAGGTTCGCCACTCAGCTTTGAGCATCTCCCAGGAGCTGGGATCCGCTGCCGGGGTTTGGTGGAACCCCAGGGTGACAACGTTGGGACGTGCCGTCATGGGCGTTGGACCCTACACCAAGGGAGAATCCCACACCTCCGGGTCGAGGTGGTCTGCTGGCCCTCCAAGCTAGGAGAACCAAGGTGGGCGAGCCCCACGTCCGCCATCCACCAAGCGCCGGGGCTTGGCAGCCCGTCCTGTAGCCAGAGCAGCCCTCCAGCTCCGCGAGCACGGCACGGTGTGTCTAATCCAGCTAATGAATTCTGCTGAAAGTCTTTCCACTGTAATTTGAGAGGGGAGTTGAACGCTTCATATTTTCAAGTGATTTTAAATCCAGAGGGTGATACAATTGTCTTGGTATTATCAGGTGTCTTTCTCCGTGGGCTGGGATTCATCACAGTAAAATTAGGGGTTTAGAAGTGTCTGTTCTGGGCTAGCGTAGGCTCTGATCGGAGCATGCGGGCTTCGAAGAGACTGATCCATCCCATGAGGGATCTTCACCCGCCCCAGCCGGAGCCTGCAATCCTGCCTGTAGCAGCCTGTCCGCTCTCAAAACAGCCAGAAATTGTGGCAGCATGACGCTGGAGTGGGAGAACATCCTCGTTGCCATCGGGTCTCGCTGCCCTCCCCACCGGCAGCTTCGCCGGCCAGGTCTACAGTTGCAGCGAGGGGCTGGCAGCCCATCACCGAGCAGGAGCGCGAGGCTGCCAGCCTGAAAGGAAGCAGATATGATTCAGAGTCTCGTTAATGGGAAGGAGGATTATGCAAACGAGCAGCATTTGGCAGGGCCGGAGCAGCAGAGGCAAGAAGGAAGCGAGGAACTGTTGGTGCCATGATAAATCAGCAGCAGTCAGATTTACAGCCCCCGCACAAGCCAAAGCCTCTCGATGCTCCCGACTGCACACAAGCCTGGTTGAAGCTCCCACCTCGGAAGGAGAAGCACGCCAAGATCACCTTCACT